TATCTGGAACAACCCACAAAACATGCAGGATAAACACTAGTAATAGACTAAAGTAAATTGTATTTCTTGAACAAATGCCACATGTCTTCATCACGTCAACATAATTCCTACCAAAAATTGTAGCCAATAAAACTACACCATTAAATAATGGTTTTGTTACAATTATTTACATAATAATTTTGCTACATTAATTGATTGTAAAATCTGAATAAAATATTTAGTTTTGTTTATATCGTAATTTCTTAATTATCTTCTGTATAATCTCAAAGCTTAGCCGCTTTTGTAGCTATATTAATATCAAATTACTTATGTTCTGTATAATCTCATATTTAATGGTAAAATTGTGAACTTAGAATAAAACATGTTAATTGTAGAACATGTGGTCACCAAATAGAATGATTAATTATTAAAGATTTGACTTGAGTTAGATAATCAAATAATAACATATTTAAACTTTTTAATCCGATCAGGCAGATCTACTTATTTTATAAGATACGAATTCATTTTGTATGATCTGATTTGATAATCTTCGCACTATTTTAACTAATCACTCCCTCCTCTAAATACCCCTTCAGCTCAGGATAAACAAACTTCTTGAAGTGAATACCAATTCATTGGTGAACTTATGCAAAATTCATAGGAAATTCTTATGTCATTTTGAATCTTTTTTTTCCATTTGAAAAACTTATTTCTTCTTTTTTTGGATATATTTGTGTATTATATATTTGTTTTCATGTTTATCCATTGTTCCTCGTGATAAAGGTGTTACACAATTTGATTCATGACTCCGATTAGTGACTTTCGAAATTTTTTGGATTGATCACTGAAAACATTTTGTTTGGTACAATTGGTAGAATGCTAGAATCCCTTAATTTCCTCTTCTTATTGGTGTTGGTGGTACAAAATTTGATTTGCAACTCTCCTTAACCATTTTCAGATTTCATGGGTTGATCAATGTGAATTTTTTATTATTATTTGTAAAATTCATTGTACACATTCTTTGTCTATATATTTCATCATTCATAGGTTATTGGCTTATTGGAAATTGGTTCGATTTGCATATAAGTCTCCTTTCAATTACACTTTTTAGTATCATTATGGTAGAAGTTAACTCTTAATCATCTTCAAAAACTTGCATTAAGTCGATCTTTTTCTACTTTTCTTCTAATCAATATTGTCACTATGTTTGATTAAATTGTGTTGGAAAACCTAGAGTAGAACAAAGCATGATATTTCAAAATTATAGACTATTCTATTGAGTCAATCTAATACCATGTCAAAGCGAATTATGTTGTTGTTTCCTGTTGGAAAAGAATGGAGTGTCCCAAAAAATTTATTAATCATCTCAAATCTTTCACATATAGTGTAAATAATATTGTCGTATGTGTATTATGCGTGTACTACAGGGTTTATATAATACAAGAGTCCTATACTAACGGGAAACCCTACTTAGGGTTACCGTAATTATATAGTCTATCATCCCCCCGCAATTGTAGCAGGAGAAGATCTCACGCCTAGAGTGGTTCTAAACATATAAAATTTATCCTTCGCTAAAGATTTTGTAAAGACATCTGCAAGCTGGGACTACGTAGAAATATGAAGAACTTGGAGAAGACCAGCAGCAACACGTTCACGAACAAAATGAATGTCTAGACCAATATGTTTTGTTCGGGCATGATTAACAGGATTAGCAGCTAAGTATGTAGCAGAGACATTGTCACACAAGATAACCGGGGGCTGTGGGACCTTGATACGTAGTTCCGGCAGAAGATTTTCCAACCAAACTGTTTCAGCCAAAGCAAAAGCAACTGTGCAATATTCAGACTCAGCAGAAGATCTAGAAACTGTAGATTTTTTCTTTGAAGACCAAGAAATCAAGGATGAACCCAAGAAGAGGCAAAAACCAGTTGTGGAACGATGAGTAGTAGGACATCCCGCCCAATCAGCATCAGAATAAGTAACCAAACGATCAAGGGGACCAGCACAGAGATGAATACCATAGTGAAGTGTGCCTTTAATGTACCGTAAAATGCGTTTGACAGCCTGAAAATGCTGCTCACGAGGATCATGCATATGCTGACAGACAAGATTAACCGCATACTGAATATCCGGGGGGGGTGAAGGTAAGGTATTGCAAGGACCGACCAAGCTCCGATCGAATGTCGGATTATGGAATGGCGGAGACTCATCAACAAAGAACTGAAAAGCAGGAGCACGAGGAGTAGCAACCGGATTTGCACCTGTGAGATGACTGCGAGACAACAGTTCCTCAGCATACTTGTGTTGGTGTAAAAACCAACCATCAGGGTGAGGAGTAACAGAAACACCTAGAAAATAGCTTATTGGACCAAGATCCGTCATAGCAAAGGCACCCTTCAGAGACTGAATGATAGTGGTGAGGAGACGACTACTGGATGCTGTCAAAAGAATGTCATCAACTTAAAGTAACAAAATAGCCATGTCAGATCTAGCGGAGTACATGTAGAAGAGTCTGAGCGACTACTTATAAAACCCTGAGTAAATAGAAAAGCTGTGAAACGGTGAAACCAAGCCCTGGGGGCCTGCTTTAAGCCATAAGGAGTTTTGTTCAATCAACAGACATAATGTGGATGATCTGGATGAACAAAACCAGTAGGTTGTTTCATGTAGACAATTTCATTAAGATGACCATGCAAAAAAGCATTTTTAACGTCCAACTAATGAACGGGCCATTTGCGAGAAGCAGCAATAGTTAAGACAGTCCAAATTGTCACTCGTTTAACCACCGGACTGAACGTTTGATCATAATCAATGCCTGGATGTAGCCCTGGGCGACCAAACGTGCCTTACATCGATCAAGAGAACCATCAGATTTAAGCTTAACTCAAAAAATCCATTTGGAACCTACAATATTAGTAGAGACTGGAGGAGGGACTAAATCCCAAGTGTGATTAGTGAGGAGAGCATTATATTCATCACTCATAGCGACACGCCATTCCGGATATTTATTTGCTTCAGTAAAGGATTTTGGTTCATGGGGAAGTGAAGAGGATGTAAGAGGAGCAGTGAGAGATGGTATCTGTTTAGGTTTAGGGGTTCCATCACGAGTACGGTTGACCATATGATGAGTAGATCTTGAAGTCAGCTCCGTGGCTAATTTCCACTCGGCTTCCATCCGCTGGTAAATGCTTTAAGGTCTGAACTCCTCCACTTGTTGAGGATGCCGAGATTAACACAATTTTCGATCGTTTAGGAGAAGGATTCGATGTATGATAGGAGGAAGTAGAAGATTCAGGAGCGGAAGGCACCAATGGTACGTGTTGTGGAGGGTGTAAATTCACCGAGGGAGAAGGATGTGAGGAAGGGATAAATCTTGGAACAAGAAATGAGGGATGCTTAAAAGGGTATTTTGGAGAATTAGGTGGTTTTGCTGAGGAGAGTTGAAGAAACGGAAAAGAAGTCTCATCAAATACAACATGATGAGAGATATAGACTTTGTTGGATGCAGGATCAAAGCAACGATAACCTTTGTAAGACTCGGGATAACCAAGAAAGATACAGGGAGTGGAGCGAGGATAAAGCTTATGAGAAGCTAAATCAGAGAGATTGGGAAAACAGGAGCATCCAAAAACTCGTAAGGAATCATAGTTAGGTGGATGCCCAAAGAGAAGAGAGAAAGGAACAGTACCATTTTTTGATTTTGTAGGTAAACGATTTAATAGGTGGACACTAGTGTGCAAAGCCTCTACCCAGAAGGTATTTGGTAAGTGAGCTTGGGTTAGGAGGGTGCGAACCATGTTGAGGAGAGTTTTATTCATGCGCTCAGCCTTGCCGTTTTGTTGAGGAGTGTATGGACAAGAAATACGCATTTGAATGCCTTTAGATTTGAGAAAAGTTTGAAGATGGCGAGAATGAACATATTCAGCTACACCATCAGATTGAAGAGTTTTGATAGAAGCATTAAACTGAGTGGTAACAAGAATATAAAAATCAATAAACTTTTGAGGGACTTCAGATTTTTTTTTAAGAGGATAAACCCATAAAAAATGAGTGCAATCATCAGGAAATAATACAAAGTACTTGAAACCACTAAAAGAAAGACATGGAGAAGTCCAAACATCGGTATGTATTAGATCAAAAGCACTAAAGGTGACAGCAGAAGAAGGCATAAAAGGGAGCTTATGATGCTTCTCAATTTGACAAGCCTGACAAAGACTAGTTTTATTTGAAGTAACAATCGAGCCAGGAAGACTTCGACTAGACACTAAACTGGACAAAACAGAAGAATTCGGGCGACCGAGGCATTGATGCCATATATGAGAGGAGACCGAAGCAGCAAATGCCGGGCATGAAGAAGGTGACGGTGCAAGAGATTGATACAGCAGAGCTGATGGAAAGGAATAGAGAGAACCAGTACTATTGCAACGTAGACGAGGGGTCCTCGTCCACAGATCCTTTACAGAGAAACCAAAGGGGTCAAATTCAATGGAACATTGATTTTCAGTAGCAAATTGACGAATAGAAATAAGATTCTTAGTAAGTGAAGGAACATAGTAAACCCTAGGAAAGCAAAATTTAGAGCATGGAAGTTGACCAACGGATTTAATCGGTAAATAATGACCATTACCAATAACAACACGAGTAGAACCATGATAAGGTTTGGAATGCGTGAGAGTACCTTGAGTAGGAGTCATAGTGTTACCACACGCGGTATCCATATACCACGACGAATCAACAGATGGAGGAATAGAAAGGCGATTGTGTTGATCAACAAAATAAGCCGCCTGTTGAAATTGACAGCAATCGCGAGCAGAGTGATTAAACTGGTTGCACAGCTGACATCGAACACTGGACTGATGTGGTTAAAAGGAAGATGCCGGTCCAAGCAAATAAGGGGCACGCGGCCTGGGATTAAACATAGGAGCTGGATTTGTTGAATAAGAATAAAACGGAGAGTATGACTGGCCGAAGAATGCATTGCGACCACGCCCACGGCCTCGGCCTCTTGAATTCTGAAAACCATGACGAATTCTGAAAACCATGACCCTGACCGCGGCCCCGATTGGATGAGACATGAGAAGGAGGAATGGATGATGGCTGCTGGGAGGAATCTGAAGAAGCTGCCACCACTAATGCCTTGGTTGTCGCAGGAAGTGAAGGAGGAGCATTATTCTGGAGTTGCACCTCATGCAAAAACAGCATGGAGCGGGCTTCAACGAATGTTGGAAGAGGGACTTTGTGACTAATGGTAGTAGAAACAGATTGATATTCAGAGGGGAGACCGGCAAGAATTTGAAGGACCAAATCGTCATCGGAAATCGGACAACCAACGGACGTCAATGAATCTGCAAAACTTTTGAGTTTAATAACAATCATTGATCGTTAACTCACCCTTTTTGAGACTATGGAATTGTAGTTTCAGTTGGAGAAGGCAGGAGCCGAGTTGGTCGTGAAAAAGCTTTTGAATTGTCAGCCAAGCTTCATGAGCAGTGAGGGTAGTGTTTGGTTTGACAATAGCTTGAAGAATTTCGATTGAGAAGGTGGCTTGGATCCAGGAAAGCACGATGGAATCAATTTGCTGCCATAGTTGAAAAGCTGCATTTGGAGTTGATGAAGAGGAACCATGAGCAGCAGGAATCATGGACGGCGGACAAGAAGAAGAACCATCAATATGGTCCATGACGCCGTGACCACGAAAAACAGGAAGAAATAATTCGTTCCATAGCATATAATTGGTTAAATCAAGCACAGGAGTAATGTAGTTTTTGATGTTAGACAGACCGAGGGCTGGATGGGAAGAAGGAGAAGGAGAGCCTGAAAGTGGAGGATTGATTTGTGCAGCAGCCATGGTGGGAGTTGCAGTCGGATGGCTAACAGTCGAATTAGAAGAATCCGCCATAATAGAACAAAGGTGGAAGCAGCAGAAACAGGTTGAACGTGAAGACAACAAGAAGACAACAATAGGTTACTGCCCTACGAAGACAACAAGAAGCTGGAACGTGAAGGAGATAATGCCGGCGCTGATGAAGAGGAAGGCGACGCGGCGGAGGAGGAAGAAAACAGGTTGAAACGGCAGAAATCCTAAGATGGGAGAGGTCCAGGAAAGAAACAGGTTGATACCATGTAAATAATATTGTCGTATGTGTATTATGCGTGCACTACAGGGTTTATATAATACAAGAGTCCTATACTAAAGGGAAACCCTAATTAGGGTTGCCGTAATTATATCGTCTATCATGTAGATGTATGATTCATTGACCAACAAATCACGTGATTTACAAATTTACCAGCAATTTTGATATTTTGACTAACCAATATTTTTCTATCATTTTGTTCCATCACGATCATTTTACTTTATTTAAGCCTTCAAAATTTGAATAATAGAAAGAATAAGATAATAAGTTTTCCTTTATCAATAAAAATCTTATATTTAAACTCATGATGTGCAAGGCACGGGAATGAATCTTGCCTACTTTATTAATTATTCACTCTACAATGCTCCAAATTCCAATATTCTTTTATTATTAATAGCATGCCAATTTCCCATTTTAACTTGGAAGCTAATATAATATAAATGATTCATTGATAATACTTGGCACTATAGATGTGAAATTTTGAATTAGATTTTTATACAACAATGTATGATGATTGTAGGGGTTCTTCACACTTATTTTTTCATAAAATAATCTTCCATTTTATGCATTTTCGGTTGGGAGTACAATCTATATTCCCATCCTATATACTTCATTAGTAGAAGGCTGATGCATTCAGAATGAAAGTCCGACCGACATTGGTTTAAAGAATTGGCCCAATCACTTTAAAACCGGGCTCTTATGAGGCCCAGGCTTGTACGAGACTGGTGAGAAGAAAATGAGAAAGGGGAAACTCACGAAGAACAAGAAAAGCTGGAGTGGTGGAGAAGAAAGAGAGATCCGCAATTTCTTCAGTAGGCTATACATAAGTTCGAATCCAATTTCTCCAGCTATTTATTCCGTTTATCATGAGGATTTTATTTATCCACTTTCTTTCATGATTGTTGTTGAGATTCGGAATCTTGCTTTTTGTTTTGATTTTTTTAAATAAAAGCATAAACATAATTGAATTCATCATTTGAAATACTCAAGCTAGGATCTCTGATTAAAGATTTAGTGGCATTTTGTCCCTTATCCCTATTGTTGTCATTCAATGTATAGCCTGGACTCCTCTATGTAATGCAAATATTTTTAGGGTTTATTCATCATATGTTAGAAAATATAACAAAAGGTGGTTTGTTCACAAGGTATGTATTTAGATAGCTAAGCATTCATAAGGCCTTAGGGGAAGGATTTGAGTTTTTAAGTAAGAGCATATTTGAAATGAGAATACTACCTGATAGCAGAAGAGTGGTTTGAAATTTTTGTGAGTTATAAGTTTATTGAATTGTTGTAACCAGTTTGCATGTTGCCAAGGCATACCTTCTGACAATTGCAACCTGATATGGGTGTCGCAGATTATCTTGTTTGGACAATATTTTATTTACATTTTTATTTTGGAATTGGGGATAAGATTTAAAATGTGGTTTAAGTAAAATTTTAAAAAGTTGTTTGGAGAATATTTTAAATAAAATAATATTCTTTATAACCACTGCGGTAAATGAAGGTGGTCCGGTGATAGTCATTTAAAATAATAATACTAATTGATAAATAATTTTTAAAAAATAAATGAAGATGTTGTGTGGATGGTATTAAATTTTACCTTGGTAGTTATGTTTAAGTGGGAAAGAATTTTACATTTTTTTTGCTTTTTATTTTTTTTTCTTGCCTCCAAGATGATGGACAAACAAGCACTTATAGTTTGTTTGTCTCATGGAGACCATTTCATGTATAATCTATGATAAGAAACAATGTTTTGCAACTGAAAACCTGAGATTGTAAAAGCTTGACTGTTGCGGGTGAAAAAATGAGTTATAAGGATGCTGTGGGATGGCGGGTATATATAGCTTACCCTGAAAGTGATGGATCTTAAGGTCAATGGTCTGTTACTTGGTTTTTTTTTTTTCCTGTGGTTGTCATTCTTATGCAGTTGATTCTAATTTTGTTAGTGAAGTTTTATGATGGAGGAAAGTATAGGTAGCTCCAACTTTGGTTTTCGGAAAATTTTAACAATATAGTTAGTTTCCTTATCTTTTAGGCTTTCTATTAATTTTATTTCCTTGAATTAGCTTTCAATAACTCGTTTAGTTCTATTAGGTTTTGGAACAATAATCTAATTTTTAGCTCTAATTTCGTTGTTCTGACTTTTTGAATATAATTTCGTTGTTCTGACTTGAATTAGCTTTCAATAACTCGTTTAGTTCTAATTTCGTTGTTCTGACTTTTTGAATATAATTTTTAGCTCTCAAACTCTAACCTTTCAAAACCCCACAGCTGGGTTTGTTCCTCTCATTCTGATAATTTGATTCACCCATAACTTTAGTAGTTTTCTTTCGCGGTATATGCCTTTGTGTTCCATGTTCAATTGACTTAGTCAGATGTTTTAAAGTTTACTAATTTGCTATTTAGCTAAAATCAAAGTGGATGAGTTTAGCTAAAATCAAATGCGATCGGAGAGGGTTGTTAGTAGTTGCACATAACATCTATAATCTTATTATTGATTGTTTTGTTTCTTGGCCAATGTAGGAAGAGAAAGATGCAAATGTTGGCGTAACTCTTGTTGGCATTGATAAATTTGGCAACAAATATTATGAAAAATTTGGTAACACTCAAAATGGTATGAGCTTCATTACTCTTACATTATAAATTAGAAACGCAACATGAATCCTTTGATTGTAACACTTTCACTATAGGAATTGGGCGTGGAAGGATAGATATGAAGATACTATACATCAACCTTTTATGTTGTTTGAATGAAATGTTATGTAGGTTGTGGAATGTGGAGAGTAATCTTGTATTTTAGTCTTTGGAGAATTTGATGTAATTTTAGAAATCTCTGCTCTCTCTAAAACAGACTTGAGACGGTCTTGCAAGATATAATGATGGAAATCTGTGACTTTTTGTCTTCTATTTCTTCCTTTATACTCTTTATTCTCATTTGTTTGGTTAACAAATAGTTTCTCTTTCCTTGCGTTTTTGTAGGGAGACACTGGTGGGTGGAACATACATCAAAGGATCGCTACAATGCTACACAGATCCCACCCGAATAGCACAGTTGGCCATATTTTATAATTCATCACATGTGAGATGAGGGGAGCTTATCTTTTTAACCTTTCCCCCTTCTGTTTGTTGAGTGATCAATGTTGTAATGGAGAAATGATTTGATTCGGCCATGTCATTGTGGAGCTTCTAATGCTAAAATCTATTAGATATGGGGTTAAGCACTGGGAGAAATTATCTGGGAAGCTGATAAGTGCATTTACCACTCCTAAGGGCACTCACTTAATCAAGGACGTCAGGATTGGACTAGATACCAACTTTGGCGTCCCATTAATGCCTAATTTAGCTTTTCTGAGGTTCCACAATGAAATGAAACCTAATCAGAGTATTGGTTGGATGCTTCTGGGATGGACCTTTTTGTGATAATAAGTTCCTTGTCAGTAAGGGAAGGTGAATTGGTGTCCATAGTGAAAGATTTATTCTTTTCCTCAAATGTGCTTATTGATGACGATGATGATAATGACGCGGAATAAGCATATGGGTTTCTACACCTTTTTTTTCCGTTTCTTTAGTGGGATTGTTGTATCATGGGTGTTTTTTTATTTTTTTATTTTTGGAAACACAAGCAAGTGGAATAGTAATTTGAATTGGAGTTGGAGTGGTGGGGGAAATATTGTTTGCCAGTAGTGATACGTTGTGGGTGGGAGTGAGGGATATGAATGAGATGAGCTCGGTAATCTTTTATATACTATACTAAGGCAAAAACAAGAGAGAGAAAACTAAAGGCATGGAGCACATGCCACATAGGATTTAATCCTATGTGGTATTTTCTTAATTTCTTAGACTTAAAAATGTACAAAATAAAATAATAAAACTAAAAAAAACCAACTAAAATAATTTTAAAAAAAATCCCGGCAAAAAAGACGCGAAAAGCATAAGGTATCTCTCGCATCTCTCATCCTCGGGAACAAAAAGAGAAGATTAAGGAAGAAGAACAAGAAAGATAGGATTGGAGACAAATAAGGGAATATAATAAATATTTTTAAATTCTTTAATCTCGCAGGAGGATAAATATAAGTAATAATTAATAAGATTTTGCTTTCAAAATAACAAAACTATTCTAAATTTAATACCATTGGACTACCCCCGTTCGATCACGTTTGTTAGACCAATGCTTCCTCTGCCTCAGCTTTAGTTTTGTAAAAGGAATGAATTTGGTCCTTTACCTCTTACATGAAGATGATAAATAAAAATTGACTATTTCATCTCACGTGATATAACAATTTTGGACCAAAACGTGAAAATAAAATGTAAAGGCTTACATAAAAGACACCCCCAATATCATTAAGAAATGCCTAGGGTAAATTTGCAATATCATTAAGAAAAAAAAAATAGATACCCACTATAAAGTAATTGCGGGATATTATTAAAAACAAGTTGAGAGAGATCAAATTTAAATATGCAAATAACTTTAGTGATATTATTAATGTGGTAAAAAAAATGATCCTACCTTAATGATTTTGATTTAAATTATTGCAAGATATATAATTATTCAATTCGAAGTAGAATGCTTTTTTTTTTTCTTTCTCAACATTCCACATTATGCTGAAAATTTATCTAATAATGAATAATTTCATTTTCTCTATATTATGATTTATATTGTATTTGGTAGAAATTTTCATCCATTAAATCTCTATTTTATAATTTCCATTTAAGTTTATTTGGTCGTCCGATTAACACCTTTAAATTAACAAATCATTTTATTTGCCACGTCCAGTTTTTAACCATGATCAATTATATGTCGCCTTATCAATAGTCACTTCGAGACAAAGAATCAAGCACCTAATATGCGATGAATGTGGTAACGTCAATTTAAGACTATGAATTTCATACAGAGAAGTATTGCAGGACATATAATCATTCAATTCAAAGTTAATTATTTTTTCTTTTCTATATTCCCTTTTTTAGATTTTTTAAATAATTCTCTTTGCATTAAATGAATTATTACCATTTTGTAAAGTGTTGTTGATGCTTGTGTTTTATATTTTTCAATGAAATAATTATATAATTTATAATTAACATTTTATAAAAGTACAAAATCCATAGAAATAGTGATATTTTTATTACTTTGCTTGTGTTGTAATGTCTATATGTACATGTTCTCCCCGTCCATCGGACGGGTCTAACACCTAGTGATAAAGATATAATAAGTTATAAATGGCTCAATTCTGAGCTCGATCGTTCTAACTCCGGATTATTAAGCTCAAGCCACCCAAGTAAACTATCAAGTATTTGAATTGGTGGTATTGTACTAACAGCAAAAGTATCTTCTTAAACTCTCATTCATCCTCATTTAGCCTAATCCTGATATTCGTTTTTCATATATATATTTTTTAATTTAAGTGTCATCAAACTATGAGTTGGGTGAATTTTTTCTCCAGGAGTAAAAATCTGACCTTCCAAATATAAATTGTTAACTTAATCAAGATATTAATAACGAAGACTTTCTTATAAGTAGTCACTCCACAGAAAACATGGAAAATGTGCTAAGTTGAATTATAAGGATCCCTCTTCCTAAAACTGGCAAATGGCTCAACTGTTTCACTTTCTGAGGCAGAGTTCTTGAAATCAGCCTCATTCTTCCTCTGACTAACAGAGTCTGTGGATCCGAACATGTTATCATCCATGGATGAAGTTGATGATGTTGACGACTTGAGATACTGTTGCACCACCAAAACAGAAAATGTAGATTCAAACTCTGAGGTAACCAAGAGGTCCCCAATTGGGCCTAACTCGGGGCAATCACACCAGTCAGTGAGTCCTGCAGTGAGTGGCGAAATCACCCCTCGCCCTTTACCCACAATGTAGAGGTCATGATCTTCGTGATCCATATCTTTTATCGCCTTGACGGCTTCTTCTTCGTCGTTCAACACAAGTTCCACATACCTAACTGAGCTGTCATTCACTGTGGAAACCCTGAACTTGTTCAAGAAGTCATCATCCACGGCTTGGTCTCTTTTGGTATCCACTTCTATGTTGAATTCATTGTCTTTCTCTATGAACTCTCCTCCTTCTCCTCCCATGTTGAGTTCTTGACTTGGAATGAACCGTAGGACTCTTAACTCAGTATCTGGATGTTCTGCCATGCGCCACGCATAAGCCAATGCCTCCCTATCATCCGGTCCTCCGAAGAATAACATTGCAATCTTCCTATCGTGGATTTGATTTGTAGGATCGGAGAACCCTCCCCTATCAACGAGAATGCCAACCGTACAAGGGGCATTCGCCATCACACTCTCGTTGACGTTTTGCTCGGCTGAAGGATTCAGGTCCTCCATGTCCTTGTCCTGTTGGGATTGCTGTCGGTTGAATGGGAGGATAATGATGGTTGCTCGTTTGTCATTGGCAATGCTGCATATATCTTCATCCATGGTTGCATAAGGTGACCTCGCAGCAAGTACCTGAGTGTGAAGGCCCTCGGATCGAAGCTCAAAATTGTCAAATGCAGATGCAATTTGATCTGTTTGAGCTTCTACGTAGCTTAGATTATTTCGTGGCCCTGATCTATTGGATGTATGTATAACGAGCATGGCGGAGGCTCGACCGGTGAGCTCAATTAAGTGAAGAACAAAGATGCTGATGGGAGATCTCTGAGTGGAATTGGAAACATCAAGGAGGTTGATGATGGAAGGGACATTTTTGGTGTCGTAGATACAAGCCAGAACTCGTAACTCTTCATCAGATTTGGCCTTCTGAATGGTCCTCCGCTTGTAAGGGATCTGATTCTTGGAGGGACGGTACAAGCTTATCGCTGGTGTTACCACCATTGTCATCACAAGAATGGCAACCATCATTAGTGTGTAACTTTTTGTTGACAAAGCTTGATGCTGCTGCATAGATGTGTGCGTGCATGTAAACCAACAACAAAATTAAAGTTAATCTAGATAACATAACTTATGTACATACACATCTTGTAAGAGGAAGTATGCCAATAGCGTCTTGCATTTAAGAAAAACAAGAGACACGAATGATGAAATCAAAACACTACAGAGAATGAAAGGTTTGATAATTTACCTCCACCCTGCCTTGGGTGAGTCCAACTTCAAGAATGATTAAAGCAACAGTGCTCTTGGTGTTGGTGAGGATTCCAACAGCAACAGCTTGGCTAGGTTGTAAGTCATGTAAGAAAAAGACAGCCACAGCACCAACAATCTTGGCACCGAAAGCAAAGATGATGACTAGTGCCACTTTTACCCAACTATCTACTGAAGTACCGATTTCATCGAGATTGGCTCTAAGCCCACACACCACGAAGAAAACCGGCATTAGGATCCCATGAACAAAGTCGCTGAGGCGGTCCAAGAGCAAAGACTCAAGAATATCATTGGGAATAATAAGTCCAAAGATGAAGGCACCTATCATGGGGTGTGTGCCACACGCGTCTGTGATCACCCCCATGAGGGAAACCCCAGTGAGGATACAACAGATGTAGTATTCACTGTATCCTTGGCCAACGGGAGTTTTGTGAACGATCCAACCAAGGGCAGGACGAACATATAAAGTGGAAAGCAAGACCAAGGCAGAGGTGGTGACAATGATCCATAGGGTGTGCGGAACGGTCATAGCAAATGCGATGGCTAGGAAGAACCAAGAAAAGACATCACTGAGTAAGGCAGAAGCCAAGGCAGTCTTACCAATCTCGGTGAGTAGGATCTTTTGCTTCTCAAGAATCCGGGCAAGGATAGGAAAACCGGTAACAGAGAGAGCAGCACCCCAGAAGAAGGCACCGGTGAGCTTATTAGTGTCATTGATGGAGACAAAGTACAAGGTGGAACCAATAATGAAGGGGATAAACACCCCAGCAAAAGCCACATGCATGGCTTGAGTACCTGATCGGGTAATGGCTCGGATATCCATCTGGAGTCCCATCAGGAAGGCGTACAACATTAGTGCGTAGTGCGCCATCGGCTCTAGCACATGCATATAGTAAGCTGGAAACACTAAGTTCTTGAAGAAACTCATTTTTCCAAATGCTGATGGACTTATTAGCAGCCCTCCCTACAATACACCTACACACCATAAGTACTTGGGGAGGGGGAGGTTTAATTGTGGGATCATCATAAATTTGAAACCTCCCAAAACAAACAAAGAAAAAATCACTTCAGTGGGTCGTAAGGTCTAACTATATGTAAGTTACATTGTGGCCTTTCAACTACCTATCATCACCAAGTCGCCTAGCTATTACATAATCTACCCCATTACCCACCACGCGTGATGCAAGGTTAGTAATATTGACTTTTCAAATTCAAAGGCCAACAATTGTTATTATATATATATATATATATATATATATATATATAATTTAAGGGGAAGAAAAAATGCGTGAAATGGTGGGGAATACATTTGTTGAACTCACGCAATAAATAAAAACACTAAACTGACCCCTTGAGTTTTTTTATGTCAGTTGGAACCCGAATACCTCCTTATTCTTCCTGTTTAATTAAAAAAAAAAAAGACTAAACTAAACGGAAAAAAGGAAAAAAAGGGAGTTGAAGAACATGAACAAATAAACTGAATAAAATTAGCATGGGAATCAAATGAAAGAGAGAGATATATACCAAAATCTCGGCGACAAAAGGTGGTTGATTAAAAGGCCTTAAAGCAACAATGAGGAGACGAAAGAACAAGACAGCGATGGTCAATTGAACCAGGAAGAGAGGAACAATTGGGGACAGGGGGTTAGGGCCTTCCCATACCCCATTAAACCTATAAATTGTGTCTGCATGACATCGAATCTCATTGTATAGTTCCTGCAAATCAATATTTGCAGATATATAATCCATCTCCTTCTCAATTCCACCCACAAAATGCTCTTCTTCTTCTTGCTCCTCCTCCCTGCCCCTCCCCCTGCCCCCTTTTTTATTTTTGTTGCACAAGGGCCAAAACCATATTATGGGTTGTTGTCAAATTTATAGAAAAGGGGGGGTGAAACGAAACATCATTCAATCATAAATTATATCTGCTTCATGTCATGTTTACACATCGTTGATTCAATTTTTTTTTTCTTCTCTAGTTTGTTTTACAGTTGGATGAAATTGATTGGGATCCAGAAATCCAGCAAGCTTTGCATGAATATAGGAGGAGCTCGTTAGGGAGTTCAATTCTAAATAGATGCCCACACACACATACACACACACACATTTATATATGCACACACAATTAAAGCCTTTTTTTCTTTTTTTTTTTCCCTAAAATCAAAATAATTAAGATGAATTTGCCAAAATGTTGGGAAATACTCCATGCATCATACCAAAATGGTCCAAATTATTAATTGTGAATTGTACGGTTTTCATTAAAAAATTCTTTTTTAAAATGTGGACTAGTTTCCTAAGCCAAAAAGAGTATCAAACCTTCAGAATATGTGAGTCGGGTGTAAAAGTTGGATTCAATTTTAAATTAAATGTAACATTACATGATAAACATTGGAATTTTTTTATCATACCAACATTATGAAAAGTTGTGCTGGAAGCGAGAGCTGGTTTTCTGCCAAGGGCTATTCTCAATCTTTACATTCTACCTTCGGGGTTGAGACTAGCATGTACCCCAACCAAGTGTACCCCTGCATGAGCATTCTAGAAAATATGAATTAGCTGTGCATATATATTTTTTGGCGAGTTTACGATGAATTATATGCATTCTTAGGGGCATGGTTTGCATTGTTTTTTGGTCCAAGGAATTTAGCATTTATCTACTCGATGATTTAAAGATTTACAAGAGTTTATGCTCATTAAAAGTAAAAACAATCAAAACTATCCAAACTTTTACCAATTAACACTCATTTAAACATTACATATTATGTATGAAATAATTGCATTATGAACTAAATATTCATTTTTCAACATCATCTTCAACTTGAGAGTATCCCATTAATTATGATTTAGCCAATGATAATTTATCACTATAAAAGGATATTGTCAAAATTATTAAAAAGGGCAAGGGAAAGATCAATATTATTATTAAGGGCATTACTAATTGCAATGTTTTTCCTAAATTTATTAAATATAGCTAATATTTTTTGATAACTTAAAAGACCATTTCAACCTTCCTTTTAATTACCAAATATTGGTTTAACCAATCCCCCTCCCCCCAGAAAAGTATTTGGCATCTACCTCCCACAAAAAAGGAAGCAAAATTAGCAATCTATTTACGCGGTGACTCTGTTTTTTTTTTTCCTTCCCTCGGTGCAGAGTTTTAGTTTAGATTATGGAAGTAAACCATTGAATCCAAGTCGTCTTTTCTTGTTATGTCATTTTCAAATTAATTAGTTTTCACTGTTTTAATTCGCGCGCTTTAATAACGCAAATAAATTCAATTTCCGTAAGAGCCCTAATTTTATTGGGAATTAACAAATGATGCAACAAGATATTTATTGCTCCAATGATTTGGATCGAATCTAAAATTAACAACGTTATAAATTAGTTCCTTTAAAAGCTTCATTTTGCGGCTAATATTATCAATTTTGTGTAATGCAATACAAAATGCTCTTTCTTTAAAATCTGATGTGTGCACTATTGTTTGCTGGCGCAAATGGTTGTTGCATGTGACATAATTAAGATAATTAAAGAGGTGATTGCTTCGATCAGTATCATCCTAAAAGTTGATCAACGGACGCCTATTTTTGTTCTTTTGGTTAATCAATGGACGACTTGAGCAAATGTAGAACGGGGTAGAATCATGCTAGGGAATTAACTGATTGATCATGTTAGTTTTATGGGAAGAAAGGGAAATAAATGAGTATTTAGTACTGGTTACATAGAGGACCAACTAATCATTGCAACATTAAGAGATACTAGTTAGATGAAATGCGCTTCATGCGTGCCCGATAGAAAAAAAAAAAAAAATCAATGGAACAACAGCTACTAAAAAACTAATGGAACTTGAGGGATTAAATAAGGATCAATGCGTATTCCAATTTGTAATAAACTTATGGTGAAGCACACCAACAGCTAGGACAACACTTTTCGACACCAGTAAACCATATAAAACTCGAAGAAATTTCATGATGACAATGTTTGCCAATCTTTCTTGGAGTACCTGAAGAATGCATCCCATGAAAGTTTAAAGCAGATTACAAGGGTATCCTGATGTACCAAATTATTTAGGCCCCCAACCTCTTCCCAACTCGTCCCACAAAAAACATTTACTAAGCAAGCCGAGCAAAGGAACAAATAATGCCATTACAAGTACTTGACCATGTCTCGTCCTTCCACGCTACGCTTTGTAGCTTGAAACTGCTTTCGCTTCGGAGCTTTTAACTGCTGCAACTTCTTATTCATATGCCAGCTAACCGAACGACAAACAAGATAATGAATAGATTTCTAAAGCAACAAACTACATGAGGAATGCCGTCAAAACCAGAGGCTGCAGACACATAAAACCAGAGCAACACTAACACATGAAAAAAAAAGCTAGAATATGCAACTCTGGTCAAACAATTCAAAAAATCTATATATCCTATTATGCAACTCTGAGGTGGCGTATTCTCCTTAATTCAATCCCCGCCAAAAGACTAATTAGTAAGCCATGGTAAGTGGTTATTTATTTAATTACATTAATAACTAATTAACAGTAGTTTTCCTTATTATCAACAATGTGCACCTCTGATGGAAGTTGGAACCGGTTTCCCCACCCCACGTCCCAATCACGTCTCCCAACTAAAACCGATGAAACTTTCTCAATAATTCCCGGATTTCAATTTCCACAACAGTCACTTTTACATGTCTCCTTTTCCTAATATGGCCGCCTAGGCCAAATCCGGCCGAAGTTGCGAAATTAGTAAATTTGTTGATGTTAATCTAACGGCCGTCTCCTCCGCACAAAGAATTCTAGGCAGCCGTGAATTTTTTTCTCTCTAGCGATTCAATGCAAGCCCGCAACAAGAAGAAATTTGTTAGATTCGATTTCCTGAAGAAGTCTTATTTGGCACTGGTCATAATATGGATGGTAGAATTGACACTCTGTCCCTTTTTTTGTTGCTTTGTTCAATGACAATGATTGTTGTAATTTTTTTTTCCTTTACGTTGCAGCAGGGGAAGGAAGTGGGAATTGGGGTTGCATTTGATTGATGTTAATTATATAGATCAAACATATCCGGGATGACTTTTAAGATGTAACCCACTTGATGTTGATTAATTTCATATTTACAAATGGCTTTTGATTATTTTCCGGCATATATTTTCACATTTACGGATCTTATTATAATTGCCAAGTAAATCCGAAATACATATACAGGCACGTAATAATTCAAGCATAAAAGAATAACCACCAAAAGGGGAAGGAAGAAGTGTGTATGGCAAAACAAGTTGCAATATCAAATAGACACTACAAGAAAAAGGACTTAAAATGACACTCTTATTAAGGCATTTAAGTAAAAATTAGGTTTTAGATCCGTGCATTCGCACGGATATGTAATGACTAATATCTTTTTCTTGGTTAAAAAAAACAAGTAGTCTAGCATGCTATGTATATAATTAAAGACATCGTCATTTTCATATTAAGATTTAAATATAATGAATGATGTATTTAGGGCTTTTCTTTCCATTGAGTTGTCTTTAAGTTTGAAAATCTGACCGAAATTTTAAGAGGAGAGGTCATATAGAGTTGTCGTAGATGTTGCTAGACGCGCTGGAAACTCAGGACATTACATGCAAGAATTATTTTTTTACATTAATTGATGCGCAAATACATCACTACGATATTATTGTCATATGTAAATGGCATCAATATATGTTGACTACGTCTACACTCCATCTTTGATGCTTCAAAAGAAATCTATATAAAAGAAAAAAATCAACACTCAGAAGACAGATTATCAAAGAGAATATAAATATTTAATTTTTGGCACCAGTTGCTAAATTGCAAGAAGAAAATAGTGGCAACGAACCTTGATGATAATAACATGGGCTTGAATATGATATCAGTGGCATAAGAGAAAGCATCCCCAAATGAAAAGAGGCAACCCAAACAACATTTCAACAGAATAAGGACCATGATTTCAAATATTCATATATAGTATGCATTAATATTATAGGCTGGTCGGGCTTCGTCTGGTCGGGTTTCGTGAATTGGAAGTTGGGTTAGACAACCTAAATTATGGAGGATGATATGGGTAAGTGTGACGGTGTGATGTAAACCAACTCTACACATGTAATATTATAGGCTCAATGAGTTCAGATGCCTCGCAATGGAGAATCAGTGCACCCGTAGAAGTAATTTTCTACGGAAAAGACATCGATTTTGAAGTGACTAACAAAAGCAGCAAACTATCTCCAGTATCCTCCTCGCAGCCTTTGTCTGCACCGTTGAGCCTTGCCTTCTGCAGAAACTTTGGTGTCACAAACTTCCATATTTTGGTGCTTGTTTTACCAACGGTAATCACATGTTGCCGTTGCTGATTTGACTTCTCCATCAGATCTCAATTGTTTTAGCTCCTTGTTATTTCTAAAACATGATTGAATATGGAGAAACGTGATTAGGGATTGATAGAAAATATGTGATACATGAATGATAAATGCTTTGAATGAATAGAAAGTTACAGTAGATGATAATTCACTGGTTGTTTTCTCGAACAGATCTGAATTCTTGAGTTCATTATAATTGTTCAGAATTCATGGTATTGGGTTAAAATCATAACAATAAATTTAAAAAAGAAAAAAAATTGAACATCCACCAATGCTAGATCCGTAGCCAATCCTCAAAAATAAAGTTTCTTGAGAAGCTTTACATGGACGATTGAGATGGTTTTGTTGAGGAGTTTGGCGGGGATTGGGACTGGTTTTTTGAAGGCTCCACGGATATCGTGCGATCCTGGCCGGATCCCCGAGTCAGGTCATAAGCATTCATTTTTCTGGCCAGAGCAACAGTATCCTCGACCTCCTTCGCGAGATAGTCACCGAAGCGAGACATTCCATGGAGGAACGGCGGCGGCAGGTCATAGATGGTAAATGCCGGAGTTCGATCTTTTTGGGTCAAGACCGACTCGATTTCGTTTAAGTTTTAAGAAAAAAAATTATCATTTTTGGGACGAACCTTGGACTGCTCTTCCTCAGACGCCTCATCCATGGCGGAGCTTTCTAGGGACGATGATGGCTCGTGCGCTTTTACAGAAGACAAT